CACACACACACACACACACACACCCCTGCACAGACGGCAGCAGCATTACAGACAGACTGATGAATTCAGTGTTGGAGGTTTATTAGATCTGGTTTTAGGAAACACTGTGACTGTAATGATCTCTGCAGCCTGTGGAGGACGCTCTCACTAAAATGGACTTTAGATGAAGACTCATCTGATGGAGGCTGTTTACTGAAGGTGTTTCTGTGTGTACACTTTGTGGACTATGTCATCTCCGGGTGTCTGTGTGTGTCTGTGTGTGTGTGTGTTGCTTGGGTCAACACAATAATAGTACATCTAGAGAAAGTGAAACGTTGAACTATTGATAATTACATATTTATTATCAGTAATAAAAGTCATAATTAATTTGTGAGCTTTACTTTAAATCATTGTGAATAATTAAACATGTTCTATTTAAAATCTCTTAGTCACAGTATAAGTGACTGTAGCTGTGAGATAATTACAGCAGGAACAAGAAATGGAATACAGTCAAGGACAGATAGAAACCTGAGTCTCACTGTTCCTCCTTCTGTCGGAGGAGTTTTCCAGATCAGGGCCGAGGAGCCACACCCAGACATCCACAGATCAATTTACACACACAGGCACACACACACACACACAGGCACACACTCACACACAGTTGTGTCTCCATGACTTCAGAGGACATTGACTTACTCTAATGCTAACCATAGTTACTACTGACCTAACCAAAACCTACTTTAACCTAACTCTTATATTTAATAATTTACGTTATGAGGATTAGGTCCCCACAACATGAGTATTACCTGAATCACACACACACGTCACAGGTCACCTTTATTAAATTCATGTCCTGATGGAACTCTGACGTCAGCATCTGGAACCTGAAGCTTCTAAATGTCTCAAACTGAAAATCAGAGCAAACAAATGAATCTTCAGAGGCAGAATGTTGTTGAGTTATTGAAGATCATCTGGGTTCTAAAGTGTTGCTCCCTCTGTCCGTGTGTCTGTCCTCAGGTTACGACTTTGCGGAGGTCCTGCGTTGGTTCGGGGAGCGGGTGGACCGCATCATCCTGCTGTTTGATGCCCACAAACTGGACATTTCTGACGAATTCTCTGAGGCCATCAAAGCCTTCAAGGGCCAAGACGACAAGATCCGAGTCGTCCTCAACAAGGCCGACCAGGTAGGACATCACGACCGTCTGATAACAGCTGCTGCTCACCTGTCCCAGTCTGACTCCTCCTCCTCACCTGTGTGCTCAGGTGGACACCCAGCAGCTGATGCGGGTGTACGGCGCCCTCATGTGGTCACTAGGGAAGGTGATTAATACTCCAGAGGTGGTGAGAGTTTATCTGGGTTCCTTCTGGGCCAAACCACTGCAGAACAGTGAGAACAGGTCAGAGAGCATTCACTCACTCACTCATTCATTCACTCATTCATTCATTCACTTGTTCATTCATTCACTCATTCATTCATTCATTCACTCACTCATTCATTCACTCACTCACCCATTCATTCACTCGTTCATTCATTCACTCATTCACTCACTCGTTTATTCACTCACTCACTCACTCACTCACTCGTTTATTCACTCACTCACTCACTCATTCATTCACTCATTCATTCACTCACTCATTCATTCACTCGTTCATTCACTCACTCCCTCCCTCCCTCCCTCCCTCACTCACTCATTCCCTCACTCATTCAATCACTCCCTCACTCATTCCCTCACTCACTCCCTCCCTCCCTCCCTTCCTCCCTCACTCACT